GGCTTAGCTCGATTCAGTTTCAGTTTCAGCCAGATTCAGATTCAGCTTCAGTTTCAGTTTCATTTTCATTTTCAGCCTTAAGCTTTTGGTTTTGGTCAAAACCATTGGGGCCTTTTTGATTTATCTGTAACGCTCGCAAACAAACTTGATCGCTGGATGCTGTGTCCGCTTAATTGTTTTCGCTCGGATCAAAATTGTTATGTAATCGCATTATGGCTCATTGCATGGAAAAAACCAAACAAAAAAATGTATAGGAGCGGGAGAAAAGGTTTGGCTTACGCGGATTCCAGTTCTATTATTTATAATATCAAAAGAGTTTCTATAAAGGTAGATAGTTTATTGGGTTAACTTTTAATCTATATTTTCTTTCTTAATAAAACAACTTATAGACCTAATTGATTTCCCAGTAGTATCAGAATTAGTTACTATTACTCACCTAGAAAGACTTCACAGTACATCCGCCTTGTTAGCCTCTCGCATTTATCGCCTAATCGTATATCAATTTTTGCATTCGACATATCAAATGGTTATTGAATTTTGATTTATATCAAAACAGAACCACACCCATTGCCAACCCAAATACTTCTTGGCCTTATGTTGCCCTCTCGTTCTCACCCTCTAGATCTGATCAGGTGAATGAAGGATTACCCAAACCCAAACCCAAACCCAAGCCCAAAGAGACCCAAAACCGACACCCAGTCCAAGTTTCTGAGCCAAGTGGAGCTTGTCTACAGCTTCAAGCTGAACACTGACGTGACGGCAGTAGCAGTGGCAATACAGCTAGTACTACACTGAGAGAAATTAAGTTGGGAAATAAGAAAATATATTTTTCTCTTGGGCCAGATGCTATAGTTTCGAATAGGTCTATGCTAAAACTTGCTGGCTTTTTAATTTTTTAAGCCATAATAATTTTTTAGTTATTTAAATTAAAGGATGAAAAGTTTTTTTTAGTTTGGTATTATTTTGGTATTTATTTTGGCAAGTATTACTTTGATATGTCAAAAAAGAGGCATAGGCAAGCACTTCGTTGAACTTTCTCCCAGTGTAGGACCTGCAGTTACTGCCACACAGCACCAGCTAAAGCAACAGTTCACTGTGTCTCTGTGCGCCAAACTGGAAAGATCGGTTTCAGGTTTCAAGGACTTTTCGGTGGACATTCACTTTTGCCTATACTTATATGCATGTATATGAATTTTCGTACAGAACCACTCGAAAAACGAAAAGCGAAAAACGAAAAACCGAAGAAACAAAAACAAAACTCTTGAGCTGAACTGCATTTTTGCGACTAGCGATCAGAGATGCAAGTAACTGGAGTTTTCCGCCGCTTCTTATTCGATCAACACGAAAGAAATCCCAAAAAAAAAAAAACACAACAAACAAAAATTGGGGCCTCGCCCCAAAGCTTTCAATTTGACTTTCAATTATTTCGTCTGCTGGATCTGAAGCTGCTAAGGCTGCTGCTGCTCAATAAAGCAACGGTACATTGTATTTGCTTATCTGTTTTGCATGCCAACTGCATTAAAGAGCAGGAGGGGAGATACGCAGAGGGAGAGAGACACAAACACTCACTCGTCTTGTTTGCCGTTGCTTTTGCCCTAAGCGAGCGAGAGGGTCGATTGGCTATGGTCCTGCACTGCTCTTAGAAGTTCTTAGGCATTGAATTCTTGATTTTAAGCTAAGTTTGAATTTAAGAAAGGGTAAAAATAACTTAAAACTTGTTTAAGTTTCCTTTTTTTGGGTGAAAAATAGAATGTTATTAGTAGTGGTAGTTAGTATGTGGTATTTTTAGTTCCTTTGCGGTTTTGGGAGCTTAAATAATGCTAATACCATTGCTGGGTATTTCCCCGATCGACTTGATTTGCTTTATCGGTCTCAAGCATTTGTTGCATTCATTACACAATAAATTATAATACGGGTTTGCTGTGGAATCCAAAAGGTTTCGCCTGCTTAGGCGCCCACCACTCGCCACCCACTGCCCGCACCTGCTGCTGCTGTTGCGGCTGCTGCTGCTCCTCCTCCATCATCGTGGTCGTCATCATAATGCCGATCATTAGTATTATTTTGCTCCAATGCTCTTTGCGATTGGATTGGATAACTCGTTTCGATTCGCAGCCAAGTGCAAACTTGATTCGAAGACGTAGCATCTGCAATTTTGACATTTCGAATCAACCTTGAAATCGAATGAGCGAGTGAGATTTGCACAGAGCCACCCGACAATACCCCCTCGTTTAAGCCATAAATCCATCAGTTTATGGCAATATGTTTTGAGGGTTTGGCCGAATGTAATACCGATTCTGGCCATATGCTAAGCCGGCTTGGAATCTTTTTTTCATTCGTTCGTTCGTTTTTTTTTTTTGTTTTTCATTCTTAGTTGGTATAGTGAGAAAAGGTCACTTGTTTTTTTGGTTTTATTTGCGGCAAGGAAGCTTTCACTCAAAGCTGCGAAATTCGCTCAAGGCCTGCGCAGTGGCGAAGGTCAACGAAGGACTTGCTCTTTCACTCCCACTCGATGGGATTTTATGAATGAAATGCACAGCGCCTGGTACAGCACCTTTGCCACCCACACTACACTCCTGCTGGCTTCTCTTTCTGTCCCGAAGTAGCTGTCTCTTTCTGGCGTACCCAACCTACGACAAAATTGGTCCGGGTATCCATGAATGAATGACGCAGTTTGTGGCGTCTACTAGAAGGTTCTATCGTCTCTCTTCCTCTCCCTCTCTTCCCATATCCTAAATATCCCCTCGTCGTCAAAGCTTTCCTTTTCGGTCATTCACAGTGACGTCAGCGTGCGTAATTCCCAAACGCGTGGGCGTTAACGTGTGGGCATGGTCCTTGCCTGCAAGCCGTGTAACTTACGCAAAAGAGCAGCAAAACGAGCGTGATTTGTCATAATTCGCGTATGTCGTTGTGACTGGAAAACATCAGATAACATTCACCCGGGGGAGTGCGAGGAATGGAATGTGGGTGGCTGGTTGGGTGGGTATCCAAGCGGATGTGGACCCAAGATAAAACCCCACGCACAAAAGATTCCGTTTGCACTTCACTTCAGCGAGCTTATGGAGTTTGTTTTCTAACCAATCGAGTTTCTCCCTTTCCATGATCGATTGATCGATTGCCTATGACGGTCTTCCTAGCTTGATTTTGGAAACTTTGTTTGTCAATAAAGAAGAATATAATATATATATATAATAATCCAAAAAAAAGTAAGTTTTAAAGAAATATATAATGCATGATCCAAGTAATATTTCTGAGAATATATATAGTACTTGACTCATGCCTGGAAAAACCTTTACAATCGTTGCCGCAGGGGGAAAGAAGCGCATTTATGATTACATCAGTATTCCTTAATAGCAGGAACGGCAAAAATATATAGCCTTAACGATAATTATATGTGTAACCCAGTCGGTCGAATCCATTGCCAATCCTGCCCCATTCCGTACAGGACTTACGTAATGCACTAGTTAAGCTTAAATTGCACTTAATTGAATGTTATATTGCTGGTCATGCGCACGCCCACGCCCATGACGGTACTCCGGCGCCATACACGGGCAAAGGACACGCCCCTGCGTCCAACCGCTCTCCAACTTGTCTGCCTCCCAACTCCCAGAACTAATGGGCTCCCCTTTTCCCTTTGGACCCTTGGCTCTTGGCTCTTTTTCATGCTGGCAGCAGGCGCCAGCAGCCTTGCAAAGTCCGTCTGAGTTGCAGCTCCCTTTGGGGCACTGAAAGAAAAACTGTTAGGAATTACTTTGGTCGGTAAACTAATCGATTGATTTCATGGGGGAGTTCCTTCGTCTCCCACTACGCCTCCTGGCTCTGGGCAAGCTCTCAACACCCAATGCTCGCCGTATGGAAGCCAGTTGCTGCGAGCCGGCTTATCGATTTTTCATTACTTACTCAATTTAACGCTGACGTCGTTCAGGGATCTGTGGCAGGTTGGCGAGGATGTGCGAATTTGCGGTTCTTCTTCCTCGCCGCCCTTGGATTTGCCTCCTTTCCTTTTGGGCATCTGCGATTTGCGTAGGCGTTTTGTGCCTGAAGGACTCATCCCCAGATGAGCTTAAAAGTTTACCAAAGCCGACAATTAAAACGAAGGTGAAAGTTTCAACTTATCATGGTGATAACTTTTCTGCTTAGCTTAGGTAATTTCCGTTTTCCTTGGAATGTGGGCGGGATCTCTGTTGTTAGTTTTGAGGTTATTCAGTTATTGGTTGGGTACTAAATTTAGTAGTTATTAATACTAAGTAAGTGGATATGCAACCACCCTGCCTTACAGTTGGTATTTTGTAAGGTCATTTTTAATCTTTCAGAGTTTAAATTAAATATTTTTTATGATTCATATTTACATATTACACCCAATTACTTTCAGAATGTTAATTGTCCAGACACTCGGCATATCTTTACTGATTAGTATGTAAAATATATAACTTTTTTTTTAATGGAATTTCCTTATCTCAATTCCACAAACAAGATAATCCCCTCTGAGATAGAAGTTTACATAATTTTCTACCCAAGAAGAGTATTTAGCTTTCCTTCTTATTTCCTCAGAAAACATTCCCTTACAGTTTCCACATTTTCTTCTTTTTGTCTGTCTTATTTTCCCTCTTTTCTTTTCTTTATTTTCCTTTCTTTTCTCCTCTTGTATTTGCTGCTTTTTTTTTTTGCTGATGCGCTGCCCACGCCAGCGTCAAAGGGAGTTCTATTTTTAGCTAACTAAATTGCAAATAAGCGAGTCACTCAGTCGAGAATAATACCAGCGCACTCAGAAATCGGAATCGAATTTGAGGAAGCGTCGGAAGTGGGAGTGAAACGGGGCAGCAGCTACGGACTGAATCCGGCATTAGATATAACACGGGTTAATCTGTAGTCCGAACCCTTTGGCCCCGGCTTGCTGTCGTGGCGCTCCGTGTGGGTCGTTGTGATAAAACGTGCAAATGCTTACCACCAATTTACGAGTATTTCGCACTTGACTCCTCCCACATGAAAGCACAGCTAGAATATTTGGTGTTAGGATGCTAGCACCTACATTTTTATTTCACGATTTAATTCTCTTTCTTTCTTTTCTCTTTTCAAATATTTTTCAAGTTCAGGTGTAATAGTCTGTTGACATATAAACTCTTCGATGTCCCCAAAGTTTTCCTTTAAATATCTAAAGAATTTTTTAGTTCTTTTTTTCCAGTTTTGAAAAATGATTTTTAGTTTTTCCATTCTCTACTGCTTTACGAGATATTAGTCTCAGAAACTGGGATTTTTCCAAGTGTATTTTACTTTTAGAACACAATTATAATTTGGCAAGGGAAAAGAGAGAGATTTCCCTTTGCTTCTTGGAATCCCTGGCTCTTCCGGCGGTCCTGGCCTTATGGTGTCCTCGGCTTACCGGCGTCAGGCAGGCGACAGGATATTATCCTTGGGACTTAGGTGTTGCCACAATGTGTCGCTGTTTCACGCTCCACTCGCTCCCTGCGACGCTCAGACAACTTTCAATTTCCAACTGAAAATGGCAAGAAAAAATAGAAATAAAATGGCAAACCGAGTAATAATAATTGTTGTGCGTGTGTGTGTGAGTGCTATAGTCGGGGCTTTGTATTATCAAATTGGTTCATGGCAATTCTTGTGCGTTGTTGTGCCGCAGTCGCAGTTGCAGTTGCAGTTGCAGTTTCAGTTGCAGTCGCGATTGGAGTTTAAATCGGAGACGGAGCTGCACGAGCTCGTTAGCGGAGGCTGTTGCCTCCATGGAGGCGTTGTTGGTGACTTGGGGACTTGGTTACCTGGCTGCTGCTGGTGAAGAGTGTTAGGACACAGCTGCTGCAACCAGTTCCAGCCTCAAGCCATTCTAATGTGTCCGTGTCTGCAAAGTGAGCGTTGCCACAGTGGGCATTCGATGGGCGAATCTTTTTCAGACTCTCTATTCGAACATGACTTGCCTGCCTGCCAGCAATGACTTTGAATTTAGTTTATTTTTCTTAATTAAATGATAAGACTTTATCACTCTCACCTTTGGTCAGGGAAAAATGAAAAAGAAACATTCTGAACAAGAATCTAATTTAAAGCTAATTTTTGGAAGTAACTTAAGTTTTTAGTTTTAAAAGTTCTTTAAAAACCTAAATATATCTAATTTCCTTCAATATACCACCCTTCTTTCCTTAATCCCCTCAATTTTTAAGAAACCTCAAACACGGTTCCTTCTCCTGCCTTGCAACGAATCTTGACTGTGCGCAATTTATGTGGAGTGCATGCGTTGCATTGCTGCCGCTGCTGCAGCTATTACTGCGACTGCCCTTGGAGTCGTTTCTTGACGTGCTGCAGAAAACAAAAACAAAACAAAAATTAAGAAAAAAATGTAAAAACAAGGCACACACTTTCAGAAACTCCGACACGGACACAATTAAGGTCGTTTCTGCGTGGGCGTGTGTGGCGTGGATGAGGAGATCGTAAATCTGAGTGCGCCGGCAGCGGCAGAGAGAACGTGTCTGGCATTCAGGATGCCACTTTCAATCTCGTTCTGGCCAATCTTCTGCTTAGTCGTTTGGCTTGCGGGTCGATCCACTCTGCGTATACGTAATATTTGAGCTTCGATTTGTGCCCGCAGCCAGGCAGCAGGGTGACTTTCACTTTTTGTTTGACTGAATTGCGGCTGCAATTTGAAATTCTTGCAAAAAAAAAGCGAATGCAATAATGAACTGGTAAAATAGTTGGCCAACAGATAAGGTAAAAAGTGTCCCTGAAAGTGGGTGAACTGACTAACCTAGCCGAGAGTTGATGGATAGATAAATAAATTGGTTGTGAGCGTACGATTCTGCGACGTACACGGGACAGACTTTGGTCTTAATTCAATATTTCAACAATTCACTTTGCATTCTCTTGGCCAGCCATAATCAAACGACATTTTTTCTAAACCAACTCAAAGAACAACAACTAGCAACAGCTGCTGGCCAACACCCAATATGGCTAACACAGACACATAAAGGCCGATTTGATTGCATTAGAGTCGCTGCTGCAGTTCAGTTTAGAGGGTTGCTGGCTGAGGAGACTGGGGGTAAGTGCAACGCAGAAGCAGCCAACTGAGCTGGGCAAACTAAACCAGTCTTGAAAGGTGTCTTTTATATATATATATATATACACGTAGCTATATTAACTGATACACAGATACACAGATACATAGACACACAAAGACCAAAAGTAAAGCAAAACACTTTTTGGCCAGCCGAGCAAAAGTGAAGTCGTCAACAAGTTCCAGCCAGAACTTGTTGTTGGCTATCGGTTGTCTTGCTGTTTTTTGTTTTTTGTTTAACTTTGGTTTTGCTGTTATTGTTATTGTCTCTTCTGCGGTCTTACCAAAAGGCACTCGAGCATGTCTTTGCTATCGCTATCAAAAGTCAGGCGACTGCCTCTAAAAAGCCATCAAGTACGAGGGTGGCAACTGAAGGGAGTAGGGGGTGGAAGGGTGGATGTTGTGGCACTCCAAGACATGGAGCAGCAGGTTGACTCCAAAATGGGCGGCGGTTCTATCGCTCGGTAACAGTTTACAAATTATTTTGGCATTTTATTTGAATTTATCTCGTTCCGCGAAGAAACAATTTACTACCGAATTGATAATTAACTTTAAATGGGTGGCTTGGGCATGGCTTTGTTTTGAGGAAAAGTAATCTGGCCTGTCTGATTTTTAAATTGGCTTTTATAAATGATTTTCTATTTAAATTTTTATTATTTATGAATTTTGTAATTTATTTCCTTATTATAATTTAAATTGATGGCTTTAATGTTGCCTCTATTTTAGTAATTATTGGAATCTTCGTGATGCGGCCAAATGAGTTTTCTAAAATCTGTAATAAATTCTGTGGCTTCAATTTTCCATTGCTAACTGATTTTTCTTTAGTAATTTAAGTTTTCTTATTTTTATAAATTTTAATTTTTCATCAAGTAAAAGTGATAACTTTCGTGCCTAAAAATATCTTCCAAAAGTTTTGTTTTTTTTAGTATTTTTTGGCTGTCATTTTCCTAACCTAAAAATATCTTCCAAAAGTTTTGTTTTTAGTATTTTTTGGCTGTCATTTTCTTAACTTAATGCCAGTTTAAGAAATAATTTAGGGTTTAAAAATATTATATACATATTTTATATAGTTAATTTATTGATTTAAATTGTTATTTTTTAAGTTTTTTTTAAATCAAAGCTGCTTTTGTTTTAATTTGAATTTTTTCTAATCGCGAATCTATATTTCCAATGCTAATTCTTACTTCTTAAATCAAATCCACTTGTCTAAAGTGTTCTTAGTTTTTTTTCTCATTCACCTTTTTTTTTTTTGGTTTTTTTTTTCAATATTCATTTTTTATTTATTTCTGTTTCTGTTTTTATTGGCGCTTTTGGTATTCAGCGTCGCGGATTTCAGTGAATAAAATAGCAATTTGAACGTTTCTTGTTTTGCGTTGACTTGGCTTGGTGTGTGTGTGCCTGGCTAAGTGTGTATGTGTGTGTGTGTGTTTGGCTAAGAGTGTAGTAAACACATTTTGAAAATCGAAAGCAAGGTCTTTTTTGCAGACTGTTGTTGCTGCTGCTGCTGCTTGTAGCGTACCTTTAAGCTCGGACTTTTAGTTTAGAACGTAATTTATAAATTAATTATTGGCCGCCGCAGTCACATGTTTGGGCCACGAATTCGAGCACCTAGCCATCTATCTAACGTATTAACAATTTGTGTATTTTTTATGTGTTTTTTCTGTCGTGGTTTTAGTTAGTTTGTTTTGTAGGGCTTTAAACTATTTTTACACGAAACAAACAAACAAAAAGGGCAGAGACAATGGCAAATGCATATGTTTGAGATAGCTAAGCAACCCTTGGGGCAGGGGCTGGTTGCAGCCAGGGTAACGGTGCTTTGGCACGTGTCTGTCAACCCTCGACGTCATCATCGGCAACTAATTGCAATTAGCAAGGCCAACAGCAGCAGTAGCAATTGCCTTTTTTTTGCTGTTTTTTGTTTCTGTTTGTTTGACGTTGTCAAGAGCAGCTCTGCCCGCCCCATTTGATAAGCCTACAGAAGTCCTGCCACTCCGCAGGCTTACTTTTTTTTGTTCCCCATAATGCAGCTTTTGCTGATAGCTAGAAAAGTAGCAGCTCGCATTCGAAAAAAGAGATTGTCTAGTACTGCGCTGAGATCTTTATCTGCGTCAATAATGTATGGTAATTTATATGGTATGATTTGTGCATTGCTAATGTGTGCAATGGTGCGTATGAGTAATATTTTACTTTAAAATTTATTTTGACTTTAAATAATTTTGTTTATTAAAGTGAGTAGTATAGTTTATAATTAATTATAATTAATTTTTAAATCAATCTTTAAGAAAATGAAAAAAAAACTTCGAGAAAAAGTAAATTCAGTGTAAGAAATTTTTTTTATTTTATTTTTAAATAAAATAAAACAATGCTCATTATTTCCCATTTGATTGTATTATTTTTGTATACAATTTCTATAAATGTCTCGTGCGTATTCCTTTGTTAATAATTTTGAATAAATTATATATATTTGGACAGCTGAATAATATGAATTGTGAAATCAAATTTATTCATTTTATTTTATCAGCTCAAAGAAAAGTAAAAGTCATTGCCATACTTTATTCTGATTGTTTGAAAAGTACATAAAATATTGAAAATCCCATTCTGAATGTTAATTTACTTAACTGCTTTTAAATTAATGATTTTGTTATACATTTCCAGAGTTAAGAGCTGTCTAACTTTTAGCAGAAAGTGTTTTTTTTTTTTTGAAGAAACTCAAAATTGATTGCTGGCATTAACATATTTCTATTTTTATTATACTTGATTTTTATTTTGGAGCTCAACTAGTTTTCTGTTTTTAGAATTAGTTCTTTAATCACGTTTTGCCATTTGTTGATTCTTCCAACTTTGCCATCGTTTCCTCCGAAATTCCGGCCCACATGTCGTATACATGATCTCGAGTGATTGTACAAAAATAAACAACTCATTGAAGAGCAGAACAAATAGCCAGAAGAGATGCGAATAAAAATAAGTTGTTTGTTTCTAAAAATAAGTTTAAGGCGAGCAAAATAGTTGACCAAACAAAGCGAAATCAGCCGAAAAGAAAAACCAATTAAACGCTCAAGAAGAAACGCTTAGAGACAAGCTTTTAAAAAACAGTCGAAAAGCTCTAACGAAGCCAAATGCATTGATTAAGGCACACATTTTGGTAATTTTAAATTTAATTAATTAAATTCTTTCGGGGGCTGCCAGAAAACCAAAGCAAAAGCTTATTTTTCTGACGTAATTGTGCCGTTAGCAGGCCACAAACAAAGCACTCACAGCTATAGATATATATATATATATATACATATATATATATGTATATATTGTTGTTGTCTTCTGATCGAAGTTTGTTCGCTTTGCCGGTTTCGAAAAAAAGCGAAATAAATAAAATAACAGCGTAGCAACTAGTGGCGGTGGCGCAAAATATAACTAAACTTTCGAATGGGATCAGCCTGCCTGCAGTTTCATTTTATTCAGTTTTCACTCAATTGAGCGAGCTTTTCGACGTCGCCGTTGCCGTCGCCGTCGTCGTCGTCAAAGCTTTTCCCACTCAATTGGAATGGTGGAATGGCCGCGTAGTCAAGTTTCATGCCAACGCCGATTGCCGTTCAAATCAGTCGTTCAACGAGAGTGACCGCGTGCGAAAGCCAGAATCAAGACAACGCACACTTAACCATCCTCCCCGCTCTATACTATACTATATACTTGTATATTTTAAATAAGAGTTTTGGCCAAGAGCACTGCTAGCTAGACGGCAAGCCATTACTTAAGCCTTGCTAAGAAAAAACCAATCAGAATCTGAACAGTAAACGCAGCAAAAGCAGAAACCGAAACCGAAGTAAAGGGAAAAGTCTGACAGAAGCAAAAAGCGGAAAATTCGAGGGAACATTCTGGCAATACAGCAGCAGGACTGTTGCTTCACCACAGCCGCCACCCACTTTATAGCGCCCACATCGAGTGGCAGAGCCAACATATGTTCGCCTGGCTACACCCAAGCTGAACTGCCTTTTGGACCATATGTTGTTAACGTTGTTTCGTGTGTGAACCAAATAACATATATACGTATATCTATATATATATCTATATAACCAAACAAGAGAAATTTCCCGAGTGCGCGTGTGTCTAGTGTCTAAACAACAAGAAATCCAAAAAGAAAAAAAAAGAAGTAACAAAAAGTAAAAAGTGCAATTGAAAAGGAAAACGAGGGGAAAAAGCCGAATTAATTGCCAGCAGAAGCAGCAGCAGCCGCAGTAGCCACCAACTCTCGCCTAAAAACCAGAACCATCTGGAGTGCTGTTATATATTTTTTCGCCCATATATCCTGTCGCTCGTCGCATCCAGCATTCTTATGAAACCGGAAAATCGCCATGAATCGTACATTGCAAAGGTAAATGTCAAGACCACGCCCACTCTACTATGCCACTTCTATACCGCCCAGCCAAGCACCCTTCCCATTCATGCTGCATGTAGCATATGGCAAAAACTGAAATGCGCAAAAATATCTCTATCTGAATTTGTATCTGTATCGCGCTGACAAATCTTGTTAAGGTCTCATTTTTTCCATCGTTTTATTTGTATCTTTAAGTGCGTTTATGGCATTCGACTCTCTCTCTCGACTGTAGTTTGGTTTTGGCTCATTAAGTTTGAAGAATTCGCAATGATTGTCGTTGTCGTTTTGTTGTTATTGTTCTTGTATTGAATTTCATTGTATGAGAAGGAAAAAAGAGGCAGCAACAGATGTTTGAATGGGTATCTGGGAATCGGAGACGCCGCAGATGTTGATCGAGAATCAAACTCAACTCGCAGTGCTCAGGCATTTTAAATAGGCAACTGATTGGGAATATCAATTGAGGGGTGAACAATAGATCATGAATTGACACAATTTTGGGTTTTAGATATTTTAAAAATCATAAAAAACTTTAAATGGGAAATCATAGTCCAAATAATAATTGATAAAAGCTTCTTAAGAGATTAGTTTGAAGTTTTTTTTTTGCTAAATTCTTTGAAGATATTTCAGATCTCAAAACAACTTTTTGATGATGTTAAATGAAATACTTTGGTATGTTAAAATCCTCTTAATTTTTAATAATGAGCCACTAAAAACTGTAAATAGTTTGACCAATTAGTTTTCCTCGCAACACATCTTGCTGGAATGCCAAGACATATGTTTCTTTTAATGTTCCCCAAAAGATGCCAAGGTTTTCTTTTATGTTCTACTAATTGCTAAAAAATGTTTGCCTAACTGATATCTAACTCATGTGTTATTACGGCATATTAAAATGTAGTTTGGAAAACTCCTTCGGCGTTAGACAAACTGCGTAGTGGTGGGAAATGTTGTTGGCAAAGTAAAGAGCCAAAATGTCGCGTACGACATTCAAATGAATGCAATGGCTGCCTTTTGGCTTGGAATTTCAAATTGGAATCGGAATTCGAAATTCGAAATTGGTATTCAAATTCGATTTCCAATACATAATGTCTGCAAACAGGCGTTGTATAGTATATAGTATATTAGTATATATCCAAGCACATATCCGGGTTCACTAGCTGCGTCAGTTTCGATTTCGGCCTTAGTTTTTTTTCACTGGCTGCAGTGAAACCTAACGACTTGGTCTTGGTCTGGCCTGGTCTGTTTTTCGCATTTTCTTTTACTGGTCTGGGCCGGGCGGGAGGGTAGGCATACATTCGTCTGGTCACGTGTAGTTTAGGCCAACAAACGCAAATTACGTTTACGTTTGACGTAGCCACAGCCGAACGACTGAAGCAACCCTCACTAATTACATTACATTATATATAACACTTGGCGCAATGTCTTCTCGCCTGTTTGCAGTTTGTTCACGTTGTGTCACCTGAATTGGAATTTCAATTTTGTTTCTGTCTTTGTGTGCCCACATGGCTAAAGACGCATTTGATACTGGTCCCGATGAACTCGATGAAATTATGTAAACAATATGTCTCTAAGGTGGGAGGTTGAAAGTATAAGTATAGGCAAATACTAGAAGCTAAACAACATGTAGAACTTCTGTTTTGTTTTCAATTTTCATTTCCAGTTTTGAGTTTTGTGTTTAAACAGTTTGGACAGTGTGTCTATTTGCCTGGGCCTTGCTTGTTTGTCAAAGGCAACAATCTAATCCCTCGGCTGACGATGATCCACTGCACTTGTCCATAGGAAACGGGTGAATGCCGCCGCCTGCCTGTTCATGCAAATATCTGGCACATATTTACTTAGATGACCACGCGAGCTTACTTTTTTTCAGTTTTTCTGCCTTTTTTTTTTGTTTGCAGAGGTTAATAACCTGACTTTAAATTAGCCAAGCTCAGCCGCAGTCTACCTGAGCTGCTGATGTATCTGTATCTCGCCGCTCGCTGTTCGCCGTTACCAAGTTTGCTGGCTTCTGACCCCATTCAGCTTCGGGCAGTTTCAATCCGAATCAAAATCAGAATCAGACTCCGACTCCGAATACATAATAATAATCGCCGCTCCAGGGCAGAGCCGTGAAGTGTGTTTATCTCGGAGATATTAATTACCAGGGCCAAGCCCAGAGAACGTGGCTCAGAGAACGTAAGCTGATTAGGCCACCGCCATCGCGCTTGTCTATTTACAATCAGATCCTCACAAATTTAATTATGCAACTTCTCTAAAGCTCTATTCTCTGTGGGGGCGTTTGATTTATCCCTTCAGATAGGCGATCTCTGTAGAAAAGCCTCTTCCAGAGAGTATCTCTCTATCCCAAAGTTGTAATGGTTTCCCACCTGAGCAGGTGAGCCGTTGCCGCTGCCGTTGCCGTTGCCACAGTCTAATTGCAGTTCGCGTGGCCCGACTTCGTGACTTGTAAATAACAGAAATCATGCCGAAAACAGCAAAAAGCGTTTTGGCTTAATGATGCAGATACGAGAGTCAGTTTACGACTCAAACTGCGTGTTGAATAATTCTTTTGATTGCCGCCATCTGAGGGGAACTTTAGGTTGAGGGGGTGTTGACTTGACTCCTATGACCGGGAGTAGTTGATTATTAACGAGAATCATAACTCAACTCTTGGGCAATGTTTTCTTATATCAAAGTCAGGGGTAATGGGGCTTTAACTTTAGTTGGTAAACCTATTCCAGAGTTATCTTTAAGTTATGGTAATAAAGGTACTTAAGTCGTTTTGATTGGGTTACTAAACTCTTTGGGGTTAAGCTTGTAAGGATATTTTACATACAAAGTTGTGTTAAGTTTGTTAAAATGTGAAATATTATATGTGAAATTATTATAGATTAGTTGCTAAAGAAGATGCTGAAGAATTCTTCAAATAAAAGGAGATTAGAAGGCTAACATCTAAATGCAAGTTGATTTTAGTTTATCAGAGATCACTAGACCGTACATTAGTTCGGTTTATATCTAAACTCTTTGACTATTCTTAACTTTTAAGCTATTTTTAAGAAGATTTCTTATAACACCCCAAGAAGAATCATGTCTTAGTTCATAAAGTTAATCTGATTTGCTCTAAAATATCTCAAACTTAACAGATTATCTACAAAATGAGTACGAAAATGAAACAAAATACCAGATAGTGATAAGCAAAAACTACAAGCTGTTCCCTTAAGCTAAACGCTAAATATAAATCATTCTGATTTCTCGATGAGCTTTCTTTTACGGCGATCTCCTTGTCCCACATTTAGCCCCGACATATTTGTTAACCCATTTTTCCACTTGCTAGGCCATTTGCATATCAACCCATTTCAGTTTAAGTTTACCCGAGGGGGGATATACGAGTTTGCATTTGACACTCACCGAGGGGGAGGGGCTTTAACATATTTTACATTATGCATGAGCCGTCTAATCAAAAGTTGCATTGGGAAACTCCAAGACGGTTTAACAAAACCCTTTTTATGTTTCTTTTTGTTTTTAGTTTAAAATGCAATCAACTTTGATAACTTGCTGTTGTGCTCTAGTTATGTTGTTGTTATTGTTGTTGTTAGTGCAGTTGTTGTTAGTGTTATTGTTATTGTTGCTGTTTCTGTTGCTGTGTTGCTATTGATTGTCAACCTTCAGCGAACAGCGTTGTATGCCGCACACGGCGAAGGTCGGCCACTGCGTTCGTTGTCCGTCGCATTGGTAGGTGTTGTTGTTGTTGTTGTCGACGGCCTATCGGCATTTATTTCATACACAAAAACAACAACAAAAACAATAAGAAAAACAAAAACTAAAACTGAACTGAACCGATCCGATCCGAACGAGCTTTGAGCTATATGCATTTACATACACACCCGAGACCAGAGACCAGAGACTAGCAACTATCGGCTATAGATACTAGAGACTAAATGCTCGATACTATATGCACATATGCCTATATATCTTTGACTTTGATTATATATAGATTGAGTGCGAGTGTGTGTGTGTGTCTTTGTGCAATTGCGAAATTTGCACCGTTCTAATTAAAAATGGATACGTTCAAGTTAAGGACAGACACGCAGCTAATTGAATTAAGGGGGGGAGAGTGTGAGTGGGTACAGCTGTGGGATGGACCTACGGTCTTTACACCTGCTGTTGGCTATTTT